AGAGAAAGAGAAAGAACGAGAGAGAGAGAGAGGGATAGAGACAGAGAGAGAAAAGGAACAAGACATACTATATCCTAACAATTTATAAACCGTTGAAATGGACCCGGAATTAATGCTCGCGTATCAGGGACATCTGGCACCAGTCATGTCTAGGGAGCACTGCAGTTCAATATGCTACTGAGCTTCGGCCTTGGTATTTACGGCTTGTGACTTGTGATGATTGGGTTTCCGTGGAGTATATGCAGCCTAGCAATGAAGCTCGAGGAGGCCATCAGAAATTAAAGCCTGCCACAAGGTCACAAAGCCCTACTCAGTGGCCGACTGCTGAGGCTGCTGGTTGGGGCCCCAGGGCTACAGTTTGATTGCAGCTTCGAAGCTTTGTCATTTTCAGGGTGGGGGATCCATAGTACGCCATGGGGAAGACCACACTCCTGCTCAGGTTTTGGGATTGCACAAACAAAACCGTCAGGGATCCGAAGTTTCCATTAATGCCAGTACCCTCCAACTGCCCTTTAATATAGAGCCCTTATGGTCCTGAATAGTGGGTATTTATAGCGAATATTAGAGGTCCGGTATATAGTTAGGGGGTCTATAGGTGGGTTCTGATCGAGCATAAACATTGGAAGTGTCCTTGCGCCGGTCTTTCGAAGAAGCCGCCTCATCGGCTTGTAGTCGAACATCAACTGGGCAAGGGACATAGTCGGGGGGTATTAACCATGAGCTCCTCAGGGTTCATAAGGTGGCAGCAGAGCTCAACGGCTGTTCGACACAGAAGAAGACTCCTCTTCTCCAGGCATAGTAAAGACTTAGCTGCAGACATGGAACCACTCAGAATCTAGCTGGTATACTCTGGCAGACAGGACGCATGTACACAAGTCTCTGCACGAGGATGTTATTCATATAGACCGTTCTGGTTCTTGCGCCGAACCCACCAGGGCAATCGGCTGATCTTTTGCACGTCGCCCTGGACCTTGCATGTAGTCTGCGTTTCGCACAATGGACAACACATCCCATGCTGCACACCAACTAGAACTCCTGCCAAAGGACATCCAGACCCAGGAGCTGCATGGTGGGCCTGCCATCACCAGGCCTCCGGGCCTTGTAAAATGCACCTGAGTCGATCGTTTGCGGGAGAGGTTCGTGTTAGAACTGCCGGCCAAATTTGTTTAGACGGGTCACTGCCGAGAGCAAAGTCAAGAACCCCACTGTCCGGAAGATGTTGTAGTTCTGGGACTGCAAGACCTCGGCAGTAATGGAATAATGTAGCTTAAGGCAGAAATCGAGGCAAGAACCCACATGCAGCATTCCATACACCGTGCTCTTGTCTTTAGAACCAGGGAACATCCATGGAAACACCGTGGTATCCGGATACGCGCATAGCATAGGAAAACAGAGCGTCACCAGCAAAAGCCTCGACCTGATCACGGCACGCAGCTGTCGCGCAGGGAAGCTGCTCAAGCTGCAGAACACAGTGCGTGGGCTGAACCAGGCCAGGGCACGAAATCATTCGGGCACTCTGGTGGAGGGAGTGAGTCCAGCCATCGAATAATCTTGGCCATCAGACTTGGCCGCATGCTTATTGTACATGCAGCCGTGCAAACAAAACCCTTGAGTCAGTCAGACGCATGCATGTGTCGTGTTGCAAGCACGTAGGTTCGAGCGTCATGTGTGCAATCACTCTCAAGAGCAGAACATGACTGCAAGCACATGTATACAGTCGGCATCATTTGTTTCTTTTTTGCGGCACAAGATCCAGCACACCCCGAGATACTGTAGAACTCTTGAACAGTGGCTTTTCACTGCGCAAGAAAAACCCACGAGAAGATCTACCCGTCGCCTGCACCTCGTTGCTGCATCCCCGGGGACCATGAACCTAGGAAGATGTTAAATAGACCCCCCACCCAGTACCTCTATTCTATTTAAGGACCAGAAGTATAGGAGGGGCATGGTGTACTTGTAGTCTAGAAGTTAGCTAGCAGCAGCAGTAGAGTGCGCAGCTCCGGATGAAATCTCGATACTACTTCTTCTTCTTGTTGCCAGCACCCTTTGACGGTTGCTCTTTGTCTTTCTTTGGGGCTGCCTTTGATTTCGGCTTCCTCCTACGATCGGGGATGGTCCCATCCAGCCAACCCTTGAAACCATTCAGCTGAGCCTGTTTCAGGCTGAAATAAGTGAGGCCATTCGGGTCTTTGAAGGCCCTGTACTCTTTGCCTTTCAGCTTTCCAGACATTCTGACCCGGGTTTCCACCTTCCAGCCATCCTGCGCATTCTGAAGAGTGTCTACGGAGTAGCTCCTTAGCTAGTATACGAGGCAAGTATAGAACCGTGTTTACATGATTGGGGAAAACGCACCATGCACAAAACCTGGCTAAGTCTCGCAGCTCCCCCACGGGTCCCCTTCTTCTTGCGCCGTGCACTAAGCAACTCTAACTGATGTGCAGGGTCTGGCACAGCCTTGTTTGCGTGCTCGAGTGCTTGTTGTTGGCATCGTGCAATCGTGATATCGAAAGCAGATCGGGCAAAGTCCTTCGCATTGACCTTGGTCACCTAGGCTGCTCCGATGTCAGTCTCTGAGAAGACACAAAAATGCAGGTGTGCCGACAAGCTGCCGGCGATGTCTTCTTCTCCTCGTCGGGCTCGCTACACTTTCCAGGCTTGGACTTTGCACCCTTTGAACCTGACACACATGGGGACATGGGCAGGGACATAGTTAGGACCCCCAGACTGTCCCCTATAGGTACAGTACAAGAATCTATCACAGGGTCGGGGCATTTTCGTTTTTGCAATTGGGTGGTTTTGGAGCTGAGTTTGGGATTTAGGGTAATCGGGTACTATCCAATTAAGAACCCTAGTATATAGTTATATGGTCCATATAAATATATGTATATATACATATAAATATGTCGGTATTCAAGGTATAATTGGGTATGGGGGTATATATAGGATAGTGCAGTACATATATATATATATAATATATATATATATATATATCATCATAGGCTGGGTTAAGAAAACGCATACGTGGCCCTCGCCTTCTTCGTCACCGGCTTTGTTGTGGCTTTTGGTGGTGGGGTCCCTCTGCCAGCTGCTGGAACTGCGGACTCCCTTCTTTGGCACCGGCGATCTCAACGCTCGCGCTGCATTTGACAGCTTCCAATCTGGCGTGCCCTTGGCCTTGGCGGCCGGCTTCTCCTCCTCCTTCTCCTCCTCTGAGCTTTCTGCGGCGCTGGCATCATCAGCGCTCTCTGCGTCCTCCTTTTCGATCTTCACACCATCGGGTTTTGGTCCCCTTAAGGTAATCATCATGTCACGTGTGTCCTCGATTGTCCAGGATTTCTTGTCCAGGCGGCTCTTTATACAGGCTTTGTGAACCTCGCTGAAGTTGTCCCAGGACAGCCGAACACCTAGCTCGGGATCATAGAGCTCGGTGTTGCCCGATTCACTGGCTGCATCTGAGCCATCCTCTTCCTCGTGCTCCTTTGCATCCGCCTCAGAGTCACTCGAAGAACTGTCGGACCCATCATTCGCTGGTGTCGGCGCAGGAAGCGGTGTGCTCTGGCATTCTTCCTCCTCTGGCTGTCGTTCGTCAACAGCTGGGCTATCCTCCTCCTCTGGTTCATCCTCTGAGACACTGCTCGGCGGCGTAGGCACATGAGGTGGTGAGGTGGGGCATTCCTCCTCCTCTGGCTGCTCTTCATCACTCGAGCTCCCCACTGCATCCAACTCCGGGCCAGGGACACCTTGATCACCCATCTCCTGCTCCGAACCGTCTCCATCTGATCCTGCTGCATCATCTCCGTCGTCAGAATCTCGGCTCATCTCCTGGCCCTCCTCCTCCTCTGAACTTTTTTCCGCTTCTGCTGCTTCATCTTCACCCTCAGAAACCTCACCATTCTCCACTGCCTCCTCCTCCTCCTCCTCTGAACTTTGTTTCGCTTCTGCTGCTTCATCTTCACCCTGAGAAACCTCACCATTCTCCTCTGCCTCCTCCTCCTCTGAACTTTGTTTCGCTTCTGCTGCTTCATCTTCACCCTCAGAAACCTCACCATTCTCCTCTGCCTCCTCCTCCTCTGAACTTTGCTTCGCTTCTGCTGCTTCATCTTCATCCTCAGAAACCTCACTATTCTCCTCTGCCTCCTCCTCCTCTGAACTTTGTTTCGCTTCTGCTGTTTCATCCTCACCCTCAGAAACTTCCTCCTTTTCTTCTTCTGCCTCCATCTCCTGATCCTCTGATCCATCCTCTCCTGCTGTGGTGCTGTTCTCTGACACATGACCTAGCTTTCGGATCTTTATAGATTCTTTCTGCAGAGGATCACCCGGGCGCTTCGTTCGCAGGCTTTCACAGGCTTCCTGCAGGGGACAGTATTATGAATAACCCATATATAAGAAGCCAGACACACAACCAACCCCGAAACTCCTCGTCTTCTGCTTCGTCATGAGTCATTTCTTCCTCCTCTTCACCCTCCGAAGCCTCTTCTGACAGGTGGGCCACGGTGTGCCCACGTGGCATGGCCCCTGAGGCTGTCCTGGGATGGCAGCAGGGTTCCAATCCACTATGAGTTCCCCCTATCACTATCAGACCCTAGAGAAAAACCCACCATTATTTCTCCAGGGCTATGGGTCTGAACTTTACAAGGAGATGCAGTAATTCTGAGGTCCCACGTATAGCTAGAGTTTGGACCAGAATACGTATTCCTATCTTTATTTATCAATCACGAGCCTAGAGCGACAATCTTTCTGGGGCCACATGCCATCGGGCATCATATACAGGTCCTCTATATATGTATATATATATATATATATATATGACTATAAGTCTTAAGAGGTGCTTTCCAGGGCGGGGGAACCGGGTGGACACATGATTTAGTGTGGGTTTAGGGTTCTATCTGCACATCCGGCAATTCTTAATCAAGGTTATGTCGATCGCGATATATATACATATATATATATATAGATATAGATATAGATATAGCGATATATAGATATAGATATAGATATAGATATAGATATATAGATATAGGGGTGGATCTGTCATAGGTTTGTACTACATACCAGGATCCCCCCAATGGCCCTTTAATAGAGCCCTTATGGTCCCTAATAGTAGGCATTTGGGGCACAATAGAGGGTAGTTGGGGGGTCTAGGTATACGGACCCCAATTCCAAAAGCCGTGCTAGCTCACGCCCTACTGTATTATAAAAACCCTATGGTTCCTGGCTAAACCCATGCCGCGGTGAAAACACCTAGGAGTCATGCGACCGTGACAACGCCCGTGCGGCATGTCGCGTTGTGTACATGCTATTGCATGGGCTAGGTCAACATAGAATTAGCACCAGATCATGCACACATACACAGTCGAATCTATCCATGCGCATGCATGAGCACATATGCACAATGCCGCTGCCTAGAAATGCATGACGGCGCAGCTCCTCCTACGGACGAATGTGAAGATGCTCGCCACAGAAACCACATTGCAAGCCGGACATGCGTCGATCCATGATGACCTGGTCATCCTTCCATCAGATCGCAGCAGCACGAAGCATGCACATGGGTGATTCCAGCATCATTTCTTGCAGATGGGTCACGATCGTTGTCCCAACAGCTCAACCGTCGTATGTCGTCGTTCGTCATGAAATCAGGCCAGCAACAACCACAAGGCGACACATGCTAGTCGAAACAATTGGTATACAGTCCATGTTTGCTAGCCATCCTGCGCCAGGGAGCATGTTATCGTCAGATTGGTTAGGCAGCTGCATGTCATGGTGTGCTCTCGAGTTGGTATCAAGGCGATAAATGCTGCATTGCAGTCATGTTGCATTGCCCCTTAAGAAGTGTGTGGTCATCGAAGTCTGTGTCATTGTCCTAGCGCAGCACCCCCCACTTTACTAGAGCCCTATGGTCCTTATTAGTATTTGGGGTATAGTATAGAGGATAGTTCGGGGGTCTAGGCCGGGAGTGTAGGGCATGTCCCAAAGTACCAGCACCCCCCAAGTACCCGTTAAGAGAGCCCTTATGCTCCTCGATGTATAGTGGGTATTTAGTATATAATCGTGGGTCTGGTGGGGGTTCTGGTAAATTACATGTGCCCACTCACACCGGGCCTGCATGTTTTATCCTAGCCACATCGCAAGCCCCAAAGGCAAGCCGTATGACGCTAGGGCAGAGCCCGTATCGTTCCCACACTTAAGACACCTTCCTAGGGTCAGGAGCGCCGGTCGTAGCACTGAGGGGCGCAGTGATAATGAAAAACCATATAGCATAATATAGAGAAGCCCTACTAGACCCCCCAACTACCCTCAACTCGACTCCAAATACCCACTATTACGAGCCATAAGGGCTCCATTAAAGGGCCCTTGGGGGTTCCATCCGACAAAATTCCTGAAACAAACGACCCAAACCCACGACCTATTACACGAACTTGCTTCCGTGTATCATGTCCACACCACCACAGTCCAGGGGCTGGGTTTCCATCTCGCTAGGATCCATTGGGCCAGCTTCAGCGGTCCTCCATACGATTGCAAGGCAAGTCTATATTCGAACGGGGTAGGGGATATGCTACTGTAGGGATCGATTCGAACAGGGAGCTGCACCTCACAGCGACATTCTTCTTCCTTCGTGTGATGGCCTTTGCAGACTTTGTTTGGACGTTGTGGAGCTTAGTTGCCTCGGCTGGTACATGTGATCGCACATTGGGTTTCATCACAGCTATGACCTTACAAAGCATAAGCGGCTTCAGAAGTCACCCAGCTCTCCATGTCGCAATGGGTCGGGCCTAGGCTAGGCTGATGTTCAATCTGCATGCGTGCATCATACATTTCACATATTATCCGATCGCAACATGCGTGGAAATGATGTAAGACCCCGACGCAGCTGCTTTAAGTACACGAGGCAAGCAACCAAAAGCCGCATCCTCCCTTCTCTCAAGCAGCGACCCTTGCCAGCAGCTTCCACAGCTTCGTAAGCCCACCTATTTCTCTTCACCCTCAGATCCCCTCCCGGCAACAGCTCGTCGTGCTTCTTGATGCAGCTCTCTTCGGGCAGGTGTTGAAGCATACATTTCAGGAGGCGCCTCAATTCCAAAACCCATGCATGGCACGGCTAGCATGCATGATGCAAATAGGAAATGAGCCAGGGCACTTTCCATAGCCACCGAGTTTCTTTCTAGCAGCGCTGCATTCTTTGTCATTGTGGAAGACACACGTCTTCGCAGGAGCCATGGCTAGACCACGACCCGATCGTAGTACGCTAGCGCATGTGAACCATGGTTCAGCATACATGAGTATATATACTGTATACTGCAGAACTGCCATGCATGCACATGTGCTTTCCGAGCAGCCTTGTCCCGCAGGCAACGATGAGCATCACCGTCAAGATCGCCAACTCTTTTCTTCGATTATCTACTATAACTTATAGCTAGACCCCCACCTAGGATTTTCCCGATCCAAAAGAGGGCACTTAGTATCCAAGTCCCCTCTATTTGGGGGCACTTAACACAAGTGTTCTCTATTTGAGGGCACTTAGACCAACGGATTTACAACTACAGCCTATGATCGTCTGAAAGCACAAACAGGGCACTTAAACGCCCAAATGACCACAATGATAACTCAAGCAGTAGTGATCTCTATTTGAGTATCTTCGGGGGGTGATGGTATACCCTGTATATATATATATATATATACCCTTAAGGGACACTAGAATCCCCAAAGGGCCCGTGGTAGGGGCCCATGGGTTCAACCTTAGATTGTTGTGTTTGGGCGTAGGGATCTGGGATTCAGGGTTGAGGGTTTTGGGCCGACGGTATTGGGATTTGGGGCTTTGCGTATGGGCAGCGGGGGTTTAGGGAGGCGGTTGAGAGTGAAGCCTTGAGGGTGCTGGGGTGTTGGAGTTGGGTTTAGGGTTTAGGGTTTAGGGGGACTTGAGCAGTGTCGTTAAGAGTTTGTTTAGGGCGTAGGCATCAGAGTTCACGGTTTCGGGTTTTGGGTTCAATGTTTGTTTAGGGCGTAGGCATCAGAGTTCAGGGTTTCGGGTTTTGGGTGACTTCAGAGTCTAGGCTTCGTTTAGGGTTCGGGAGCAGGGCATTGGGGGCTCGTCGTTTGGGGCGGTTCTGGGCTGGTTCTTGGCTTTGGGCGTTTCCAGTTTCGGAATTGGCGAGCAGAGGGATAGGTCTTTAGGAAGAGCTGTTTTGGTGGTGAAGGTTTCGCATGTTCAAGTTGGGTGCGGTTTCTTGATCCGTTGGTGGATCGTCGCCTTGACGTGCCGAAGACAAGTACCAAAAGCACACAGTGTTAATAGTAGTCGTCGTCGTCGTCGCAGTGGTGGTCGTGGTCGTGTAGTAGTAGTAGTCGTCGTCGTCGTCGTCATCAGTGGAAGCAGCAGCAGGAATAGTAGTAGTGCATATTCCCGCTGACTTTGAGAGCAATACTCGCAAAGGCGGCGGCCCCGGCGAAGCCGGCTTGGGACACCTATGCTCTGCTGCGTCTGCGAGGCATTTAACATTGAAATCCTGGCAATGTGAGATTCCTGTACGGGTTCTTATAGTATAGGGCTTAATTATAGGGGTTCTATAAGGTCTGGAAATGGGTTTAGTTTACAGGTTTAAGATTTGGAATGGGTAGGTGTCGGTCTCGGGTATGGGATTTGGGCGGTTCTTGTTTCTGGAATTCCGCCTTTCAGACGTAGCCAATTCGGCTTTGGCGATCTACGTAGCACGAAGAAGACCCTTGTCGGTGGAGAAAGAAAATGCCGATTAGAAGCTAAGGATGGTTCAGCTTGTTGGGAGCAGTCTCTAAGACCCTAGAGCCCGAAGAGGGGTCGCAAGTTACAATGTAAATCCTAGAACCAAACAAGCCATTCCCAAAGCCTTTAATACGATTACCCCTAAACCCCAAGCCCATGAATAACAATAAGCCTAAGTGGGGCAAGGTGCTTCAATAAAGATTCATCCTGTGTGTTGGCAACGACGAGTTGGACAACATTACGAAGTTGCACCTGACGCGCTTGAAACACTTGATGTTGGGTCTGTGCAGGGAAACTTGTGTTGCAAACAAGCTTGAGCAAACATGATAGTCGTTTGTAGCTATCTTGTGGTTGCAGCTTCGCTACTCCCTTCGCGGTGAGGAAGTGAGCATTGATGCAGAACAAGCTCCTACATTGGCTGACATGCTAATTGAAGGAAGAGAAGGAGCTTGCACAAAAAGGCCCGGCTTAGAAGTCAGTTGCGATGGCTACCGGTGTGACGCCCAACATCGTCTCGACGAGTGGAAGATGGAAAACACGACTATGAAGTACCTATTCTGTTTGTTGTTTGGGGGTTCCTTCTTATAGTTATAGTCTAATGTGGGAGTACTATAGGGGCCTTAATAA